GAGTTGTGCACGACGTTCTGCTATCAAAGCTATCAAAGCTTTCCTTCTGCAGCTGGCTTAGATCGTACCTCGTGCAACGTGAAGTTACTGTATGCAGTGGAAACTACTCATCGTACTGTTTCTCGAACAGATCAGAAGTTCCACAGGGTAGCACTTTGGGACCACTGCTCTTCTCTTTATTTGTGAACGATCTAACGTTTATTCTACTACGTGGAGGTAAATTGTTTTTTGTCGATGACTTGAAGATTTATCTAGTCGTTCGAGGCTATGCCGACTGTTTAGAACTACAAAACCTTCTTGAAATTTTTAATGATTGGTGTGAACGTAATTTTATGATCCTGTGCGTCTCAAAGTGCTGCGTAATTAGTTTCCGTCGAACTAGGACTGCCGTTTTGTTTGATTATAACGTTGCTGGGACTGCAGTTCAACGTGTCGATCACGTTAAAGACCTCGGTGTCATGTTGGATGAAAAGCTCACATACACTCGCCACTTCTCAACCACGATCGACAAAGCTAATCGTCAGCTTGGATTCATGTTCAAGATATCTAAGGAATTTCGTGATCCTCTGTGTTTTAAAGCCCTTTACTGTTCATTGGCACGCTCCTTCTTGAATTCGCGGGTGTTGTCTGGAATCCCTACCAAGCAGTATGGAGTGGACGATTCGAAGCTGTTCAACGCAAATTCGTCAGATACGCACTGCGCTATCTTCCATGGAGTGTCCCGCTGAATTTACCACCGTATGCTGACCGCTGTCGTTTACTGGGTTTGGATACTCTTGCTAAGCGACGAAACATATCGCAGGTCGTCTTCGTTGCTAAAGTTTTGCTCGTAGAATATGATGTTCCTGAGTTACTGACCAACATTAATCTGTATGCTCCTGCCCGAACACTCCGTCCGAGAACCTTGCTACATGAAGTAGTACATGCAACCACCTATGCTGCAAACAGTTCCTTTGTCGCCATGATTTATCAATTCAACGAAGCCTATTTGACCTATTTGACTTTGACATCAATGTCTCCAGATTTCGTCATCGTTTGCTGTCGGCCAATTTTTAATTTTTAATGAGTGACTATATTTAGATTTAAGTGTTTCATTGAGACTATCAAGTCAGATGGACTCTAATAATAATAAATAAATAAATAATTCTTAAAAATATATCACGGAATCTCTGACGCAGTGTCTCGTGTGCCAAGTGAAAATCAAATAAGGATGCAACATTATTGAAAACCCTTTGTAGCCCATTGATAGCATTGTTACGGAGTGCTCGTGGTTGAACGTTAACGTCAATTTGTTGTAGAATAGAAGGACAATCAATTCTGCCCTGTAGAATGTCTGCCACAAACAGGGCCCTTGTCGTATTTCTTCGACTCCACAAAGGATCCAGGTGAATTAACTGGCACCGACTTTCGTAGCTTGGAAGGCGATGAGGATCCCTCCAAGGCAATCGTCGAAAGGGCAAACCAGATAAATCGTCGTTGAATAGACTCTACTCTTTGCACACTGTTTTGGTAATTGGTATTCCATACAGGACAGCAGTATTCTAACACCGACCAGATGTCCGTGAAACTTTTAGCTATCCTGAAAATGAAGCCGAGCGTTCTGGATGCCTTGTCGATCACGTACGAGCTATGCTGGCTGTATGAGAGTTGACAATCTAAGATGACTCCCAGATCCTTAATGTGATTCACACGATGTACGTCAACGCCTTCTGGGATATAACTGAATGTAATTGGATGTTTCTTCCGTGAGAACGTGATTACTGAACATTTTGTTGGATTTACAAGGTCGTGGAGAAGGTCGTGACAGTCGTGGACCGTCGAGGACGAAATTGACGTCGTTGAAATACACAAGAAATATCAACGGGCTGAGGTGGCTACCTTGCGGAATACCCGAATGTGGCAGGGAACGAAGGAGATCGGCAGTCGTCGATTGCAGCTTCCAACTGACGATCAGATAGATAGGATGCGAACCATCGAGGAGACTGCCGTTTATAACGAGCCTATCCAGTTTGGCGATCGCTATAGGATGGTTCAACTTGTCGAAGGCGGCTGATAGGTCAGTGTAGATGACATCTGTTTGCATTTGGTCTGTCATACTCTCCGTAATGTACGAGGTGGGACACAGAAGGTTGGAAGTAGTCGACCGCCTATCTATGAAACCATGCTGGTCTTCGCTCAAGTGCTGCTTGAAGTGAGAGACTAATGGTTCCATAACGACCAACTGGCTGCTGGAGAAACGTGCTCGGCAGGTAGGTTCTCATCCGAGAATACACTCGCAAACTTGGTTGAGAACAGGCGGCAAATGTCCTGAGGGGATGAAGCTTCTTCGCCGTTCAGTACCATAGTCGATGGAAGGCCAGATTCGTTTCGTTGCTCATTCACATAATTCCAAAAAGTTTTCGGGTGAGATCGAAGCTTCCGTTGAACATCTCGTTGATGGCGACTGGTTCGTTGATACGCATGATTGATCCTCGCATAATGGTTCTTGAGTTGTAGGGTGTGGTACTTGGTGTATTTTCTTAGCGCGGCTCTTTTGGAAGACTTTAACATATGGAGTTCACTTGTTTGGCAAGGATGATGATTACCTTGTTTAGGAACTTTTTTCGGAACGTGTCGCTCAATGACGTAAGCCAACATATGCGAGAGCGTTTGGGCAGCTGCACTGATATCGGCAGGGGGGTGGAATGACCTCAGGAATTTGGATGCCTTCACTTCAAGTGCAATAACTAAAGGAGGATGGTGAGGAACAGTCTTTATCAACGGAGACACAGCCATAGACAAATGCGGAGCAGTATCATGAGCGGTGACGAAGCTACGATTGTTCTCATTAACCACGTGGTTGATTTGCTTCCGAGTGGCGATACTGTAATGATCCAAAAGGCTTACAGCTCCAGAGTGAAATGTAGAACGGTCGTGGTCCGGATATAGGAATCAACTGTAAGATGATCGCCAAGAAATTGCCGGTAGATTGAAGTCGCCAATGATTATCATCTCGTCAGCAGCTGTAGTCATCTCCATTAAAGTTCGAATAGCCTGACTGTGGGATTCAATTAGCGTAGAGTCGCGAGTTCGATCCGGAGGAAAGTAAACTACACACAAAAACAAAGTGCGGTCAGCGAGCTTAATGGCAATCTAAACTTGACCGTTATGAGAACACCTTCACCAGTAGATTGTTGTGCGGATTCCGATCGCATCGAAAAAACTCGTATTCGAAACCAAACACTTGACTTGACAATGTGCGAGTATCGAGCCAAGTCTCAGTGAGAGCGATGACGTCGAAACAACGATCCGAAAGCGCTAAGCGATAATCATCGATGTTGGAATTCATCCCACCAGCGTTCTGGTAATACATGCAGATCGCCTGACTGTGAGGATAAGTAGCCTGGCGGGGGCTGCATTGCGATCTAGAATTGGCAGCGACATCAGGCAGGGGATGTTCCAAGATAGATCTTGAATTATTCTCGCCTGATTGGGAGATTCGGAAGACCCCCTCTCCGATTTCCAATCGCAGGGCCGGGCCGACTCCGATGAGCGATGTCAGCGGGGAGCACGACTGCGTCGGAAGGACTGAGGGCTTCCAAAATACTGTCCACGGTGCGTCCCAGGGTCCAAGATGAAGAAGATGGAACCGACTGATGTGGAGTTGATTCCATGTTCCCATGACGTGCGATTCCTTCGTTAGGAGATTCCTGTGCTCTGAAAATCAAACCGACTTCAGGCAGCGAATGATTAATGTTGAATTTATACTTGCCTGGTATAGCAAGTTGGAAGACCCCCCACCCACATCTAAACCCAGGGCCGGGATGGCTGTTTCTTGGCGTACTTCGATTTATTCCATTCTAATTTTGAAGAATTGCCTGATGCTTGATACAAGAATTTCAAAATTCCCTGAGAATCTCAGGTTTCCCAGAAAAAAAAAAATCACTGAAGAGTCTCGGTTTTCCAGGTTTTCCTGATTTTTATAAGGGTTCAATTTTTTTTGACTAAGTTTTCGGATTTCGAGACTTTACGGTAGAGTAAGAACATCTTACGGTACGGATTCCCACGGAATCTAACAACCTACTGATTGCGTTCTCATATCGAATTATGATGATAAACGTGGGAGAAACATTTTCCGTATTGGTATGATATTCGGATACATAGTGCTTTGGTCCTTACGTACCTATCCAAAAACGTAATAAAAATACATACATATAAATAATATATCATGTATTGTCTCAGCTTCAATTAGTGATCGATAAACCATGCAACTTATAGAGTGGATCATCAAAGAAAGCAAGCTAGGAATGAATAAAAGAAAAACAGACGACAGTGATAGGATTTGGAAAATAGTGAACTATCAATAAACATCAATAAAACAATATTTGTTGAAACATCAGAGGATGCCTTAAGCACAGACAAACAGACGTAACTCTTTAAATAAATTTTCTTTTAAAACATCAACACGGAACTCACTAACGACATCTAGCGAGCTATTTGCGGAAAAAGCTTGCTTGCCAAGTCTCAAACAATGTTGCATACACGTTCGATAGATTGTACCGAAACGTCAAAGTGATCCGATGCCAGCGCTGTGGTGGGGGAATTCGTGAAACTAACAATATTTAAATTGAACATTGAATGCGTGTACGACGATTGGGGAGAGAGAGTTACGTCTGTGACTTAAATGCAATGAAGAAAAAAAGAAATATATAAACAGCAAACATCTATTCGATCGCCATATGCTGATCACATGTAAGGCAAGTGTGCAAAACAGAGATGATATGAAGAAAAGTTCCTCTGCAGAGATGTGGAAGGCAGATTCAGTAGAACACAGAGATGGCAAAGGGAAGAAGGGTAATCAAATAAAACAAATCAACTTGTTGTCATAACACACCGATCACGAGGGAAAGTGCTCTTGGTAATTCACAACAAGTTTGTTTTTTTTTTCGGAGGCTGTACACCACATCGAAATAAAGATTGACTCGTGAGAAAAAAATAACAGATGGAAAGCTAGAACGAACCATTAGCCGAACCGGAGCCGTTTCCAGCAGTCCCGCTGGGTGGTTGTTGCGTAGTTTCGCATTCGGCTTCGGCTGTATCACGGTTCTCCCGATCCTGTTCATCCGATTGCATTGCTTTTCGCGAAGAGTCAAAAAATACGTTGGGAAAAAAATAATATGAAATATAATCTCAATCTATATGGGAAAGACATCTATTTGGAGTAGGTCTCGTCCAGATGGAGTGAACAAGTTCATAAGGAAAAACACTACAGGGATTCGTATTACAACCAAGCCTTGATCCGAGACGGAGAAGCGCTATATGAAATGAGATAAACTGAAATGCGATAGTCATTGTCTCTCCTCGCACGTTCTGCCCTGTTCTGCCGACAGATATTAATTGTATGAGTTTTTTTTTTACTGCGCCAATGGCCTCCAAAATCTTGTTGAGCATTGGAAGCTGTGAAGTGGACACCTATAGTACACAGGCCGTGCTATAGATAGCTACGTAATGCCCTCTCTCAATACGTTCAAGGTTGAGGGAAGCTATAGCGGAGCAAAACAAGATCGGCCCCATACTTGATTGACCCGAAAGGTGATTAAATTGGACTTAATCGAACGGTAATCAATTACCTTGTTTTCTTCGATGATCGTAGAGGATTTTGGCAGAAGCAGCTAACTTTTCTTGAATATTTTTATTCTTCTACTCGATCCCTCGTCGCCAAGCGAAAACAATACTGATTTTGCACAAACGAAAATCCACACGCCTGCCAGCAAGCACTTAACAGCGAATTTTTATTCCGATTGCTTCTGCCACATTTAGCTGCACAATCTGAACCGAAAATAGGCAAAATTTAGCACAAAATTGATGAATACACAAGAAAACATGAAAAAGCGATTAAAATCTCCCGTGTCTGTTTTGATTGTGTCACTTCACTGCACTGCGGAACGAATGGAATGGATGCACCTCGGGATGCATTTTTCTTTCTCGCACAAAAAATGAAGACAAAAACAACCAAGGAAACTCGGCAAACTCGCGATCGATGCGTCAATTGCATGCCCATGTGGCCGTTCTTCTGTCAAAGGTTGCCAGCTGCCAGCTTGTCGATGCTGCACCGAAAAAAGTTTTCATGTTCACTGATACAAAATCCAGCGGCAAAAATACTATATTAGATATTAAATTAAATACCCCCCTAAATTAAGGCTTTGTTCCATTCGGTAAATTTTCACTTATATTTGACACTTCGAAAATAAATTAAGATGTTCGAAAATCCCTCTGTTGTTGATCGGCCAGTTTTCGAGAAAGCGTCTGTCAAAATTGATTCCTTGTCTGTCAGAAATAAGTCTGCTGGAATAGCAGGTTTATTTGAAAATTTTCCATCTGTCAAATTTAAGTAAAAAATCACCAAATGGAACACAGCCTAAATACCCACACCAATAGATTTTTGCAGAAAACAATTTCATTTAATGTTAATGTTATGTCTATCAAAATAACTCTAGATATAGCTGAATTTTTTTTTTATATATCTTTATTAAGGAGACTTTAAGGGGGCCAATGTCGCAATGGGCTTGAACTGAGAAAAATGAATCTGAAGTTTTGAACAAAATTTATTAAATGTAATTTAAACTATAAACCCATTCCTAGAAATGAACTGTTCCCAATTATTACATTATTGGTTAGCATTATGGTGAGATAAATAAAAATATTATTATTTTTACATACAACTCGAACAAAAATTAAAATGTTGCATGCGCCCTTTTGATTTGTTTATTTGTTTATTTGTTATGGTTGCATCAACAGACTAGAAATAGTCCCAATGACTAGTATCCTGTATCGCCCTGAGTTCATTCCGTTTATTCGCCCGGCTGCGTTCACAAAAGCTATTTCGCCCCTATGTTTCACCTGCTAGTTTTTGACATTGTTTGTTTCGCCTCAATGTTTACGTTTTTTTCCTGATAGTTTGTTACTATCGACCTATTATACCAACAATCAATACGAAACTAACGATTTTAAATTGGCTCACTACTTGACTAGCCTAGTGGTCCCAAGCAAACGATTAACGTACTCCATTCTAGTCGAAATTCAAGTACTACGCAATGTTTGTTTCGATTCGCTATGAAAGTTTGACAGATAAAATGAGGGGTTATTGGTTTTTCCTATGTTTCGAGGGGTGAATCGATTAGCTTGGGACCGAAGAGAGTACCAGAGCTGAGCCAAAAAGTTGAGCACGTTATTTCGGGACCTTCTAGTCTTAGAGTTACCTCTATGCTATTACAGTTTGTTGGATTCTAGATAAATTCATGTGTTGGGGTGTTTTTGCTTATTTCGATCAGATTAACAATGTTTTCTTTTGATTACCAACCGGTAATTGCAAGGAGTAGTGAAAAAATCAAATTATATTTTTCCCTTGTATGGAGAAAATATGTCTGTTTCGCCCTAGGGGAAGTACAGCTTATCTGCAGTAATATTTGGTGTAAAAATTGCTCAAATTGGTAATTATTATAATTTTTAGTATACATATTAATGATATCTACTGTCAAGCGAACAGCTTCAAAGTAAAAAAATAACAGGGTAACTTTAACGCATACACTCAATGACGTTTCACCGTTGTTGTTTATGTTTACTGCAGCTTTCATTTTTGCCTAGATTTTCGTTTTCGATAGCTCTGATCGATTTTGACTTCGACTTTTCATGATAAAAACGGTACTGGACGTTCCCCCAGCAGCAAATTTTACCAGTTGCAGGCTCATGGCAAATCAAGTGTAATACGACCACGGAACCATCACTCTGGGACTCCGTTTACAGGGGAGGCGTTGTCAGTCAATTCCCGTTCCATGGGAGGACAGCACATTGGTTCGCAGACGATGAAGAATTCGTGGAAATTAATGACTATTTTCTGGGACAGAAGTGCGACCGATTATTTGCACTGAGATCAGCTAACAAATAATGCCGAATTTTTTAGAACAAGGAGCGGATTTTGGTGGCAGTGGCCAGCAAGATCATCAAAGAATGACTTGCATCTGGTGTGAAATCCATTTTTTATCAAACGAATGTCAAAAGTACACTTCAAACCAAAAATAGTCAAAAACAAAAAAAAAAACAAGTGTCAGACTAAGTATAAGATTCGCAAATATCACACATATTAAAATATTGAATATTTCCACCATCGATATTGATGCTGATACTTGGACCTGTCCTTCCCCTAGGTTTCGCCCCATCTATGTATATGGGAGGAACCGCCCTTATGTTTTTTGCGTTTTTTTTTAAGAAAGTACATTATTTGTCTAAACATTTTTAGTATCGTTTTGTAGCATTTTAATAGTACACAGCAAAAAAAAGAAGTAAGATCGATCAATTTAATTCAAGCTGATGTATGAAATAATGATGTAATAGCAAAAAGCAGATACAATATTACATCAATCGATGTAATTTTGTTCGAAAAATCGATGTACATCGTACAACGTTATATTACACAGCCGATGGATTGACCTGGTTGCAGCAGTTTGGATGTAATATTCACCAACTTTTTTTCTGTGTAGTATAACGTGATGTATTAACCTCAGTTTGTTTACACTTGCGACATTCGCCTTTATTCCAGCTCTATCTAGAACTATGCATTTTGAGCAAGCATAGTAGTTTTGCCAGAGTTATGGTAAATTTGCTTTTATTCATATAGCAAACTTTACTGAAATCAAAGTAGATTGAACCGTAATAATCGTGGTTATATTGAAAATAAGTGTTTTCTGTAAAATAGTATACCTAATTATCACAAACGAAAACTTTGGTGACTAACCTGCTATTGCAATGTTTCAGTGTACCACATGGCAACACCACTACTACTGGATTATACCACATGGCAACACTACTATTGGATTGAACTAGCATTTTCACCAAATGTACTAGAATGTTTTGGTTCTATCTCTTTCACTCTACTCACAACTGAAATGCATAAAAAAAATGACAAAATGATACACTCTTTGCACACTGTCAAAGAATCATTGTACACAAAATCAACTTTGTGCAAAACCAAAACAAAAATACTATCCCATCTGGCGGATGATGGCACAAGTTTTTAAGAAAATTCTATTACAGCGAACCACATTATTTTAATTGATTTCTTCGCCACTTAGTCGTCTGTCACTTCATTTGTGCCTAATTATGGTCCTTGTTTCAGTGTAGCTTCCATTGGAAACGCACATGATTTTCATCCATAATCAAAATTAATAGAATTCAGCTAAATTTCACATAACATTCATGCGATCACATTAATTCTATGTGATTTTTCATATGAATATCATCGGCCTCATAATATTCATGTGATTTTGCTGTTGTGATCACAGGAAAGCTATGTGAAATTCATGTGATAAATTTTTTAACTGTGCGCCTTTACCGACTAACTTACCTCCGTGCATATTGCACAAAAGTGGGTGCTATTGTAGGGATCAGTGTAAAGTCAGACGGTGTAATTTAAACGCTATTTCAGTGCCAACATTTCAAAGGGGCGTAATTGCTTTTGTAAACAATGGCTTTAGCCGTCGATTTCTCGCAAATAAAAGCCCACCCCTCCAAATTACCAATGCAAGCTGGAACAGGAAACATTTCTCTACCTGCTGGTGTCATTCATTTTCATGAGTGAGCTTTCATTCGCGAGAAATCGAAGACGAAAGTCATTGTTTACAAATGCAATTACGCCCCTTTGAAATGTTGGCACTGATTTGACGCTTTTTGTTTATTTGTTTACCTTTTCCTGTTATCAAATTAGTTTTCTATGCGGTATAGACAGTGTTAACCGCACATACATTTTTTTTAAGCTTAATTTGTGTATAAATTTACATTCAATTTAATGTTCATCGATTTCCTGAAGCAGCTAATATTTAGAGAGCAAAAAATGACCGATAGAGGCAGCATAAAGGTAAGTAAAAACCTGCTTTCAAATAAACCGGCTTATAACGAAAACCTTTCTCGATTGTCCGTGTACGACGCAAAACACGCAGATTGAATTTGCGGTGCAGATATCCGGTTCCAAGTGTGCAGACAAAGTACGGACCGCGCTCGAAGGCGTAGGCCAGGTGGACATTGATGTGGCTAAAGGCAGCGTTTTGGTGGATACTAGCCTTCCGTGGACCGACATTCAACGGAGAATTGAAGCCACCGGTAGGCGAGCCGTTCTATCCGGGTTTGGAGGTAATACTGCAGAAAGGATGTCGCAAATTTGAAGACTAATTAAAACTCGGTTCGCAGGTCAGTCAGCTGTTTCAATGGTGGACCATGGAAACGAATCCACCAAGGTTCGAGGGGTTGTTCGGTTTTGTGCTCTAACGGCCAACGAGAAAGGTGCCGTTGTGGATGGTGCTATAGATGGTCTGGAAGCAAATCGACCCTACAAGTTGAACGTCCATGAATGTGGCGATATATCGGAAGGATGTGCCTCGGTAGGCACGATTTATGATTCCAATGATATCACTTCGGACGAGGACGGTAGGGCAACGATACGGTTTGTAAATGATCGGTTGGCGGTGTGGGATATCATCGGAAGGTCGGTTGTCATAGCGGAAGCTGATGCCGACAAAAGGTTGGCTTGTGGAATAATTGCACGATCGGCTGGCATTTTCGAAAACTATAAGAAAATCTGCGCCTGCGATGGAGTTACAATCTGGGACGAACGGGACAGGCCTCTAGCGGGTTTTAAACGACGAGAAGACAACTCTGCTCTATGAATTGCCATAATTTTAGGGACTATGGATGTAACAAATCAATAAGGTGTAGGTATGCTTATACGACTGCGGAGGTACTGTAAATTTATATTAAAATTGCTAAATACTATTCGGTTTCAATCATCATCGATGACAATGGACATTTCGCATTCTGCATGCTCCGTACTTGCACTGCTACGATTCTTTTCATTCTGCAGCTTTGCTAGCTGAGCCCTGCAAAGTTGTTTATAGGCCACAATCAGCTCCATACATTTTGGTGGCGTAGACACTGATATGTTAATATGAACTTTCAGCAATTCCGGGTCTTCCTCCAAACCAATCATCCTTGTCAGCAATTCCACCACGCGTACAAACTGTTCCTTCTTAATTCGGTAACTCATCTCCCCAATCGTCGATTTATACCAAACGGCATATGTACCCAAAACATCCTCGTTCGAAACACAAACCTCCCGGGCGCTTATCATCAGTATTAAAAATATCTGGAAATCCCCTGAATCTACCATCTGTAGGAACAGATCCTTCATAATCCCTTTAACGCGAACAATTTCCACCTTGTTCCTTTCGACAGCAATCATCACTAGATGAAGCAACGAGAGAAAGTATTTCCAAGACACACTCCCCGCCTTGGCCACGCTGAAAAGACTTTCAATGGAACTCCCTTGATCGACAACAATTTCGTTCATAATTCGCCCTAATGAAGTACTGCACCGTTCGCTGCATTCCGATCTCCACTGTGCTTGCAATCCTATGGCTTCTCCTAAGGTACAGGTACTTTCCTTCGCCAATAGCAGCTGCATGTGTTGCAAACGTACCTGTGTCAGCTCAGGGCCATTTAGATGGACCTTCAACTTTTCCAAATAGTTGCAGGGAACAACATTAGGATCGGTGATCAGATCGTCCAACACTGAGCTGAAACTTTCATGCAGGACTGCCTTCAGGGTCGTGGAGCTTTCCGTGTCTGCGAAATTTACCAGGGTTCAAGAATAGTTTACAAATGAGAATGATGAATTACCTAACAATGAATTGCTGACCAGATCTGCTAGCAGAACATGTTCCACTTCAAGAAGGTCATTCATTACCTGTTGGATCGTTTCTCGGGAGCGTAATCTATTAGAGTAATATTTTGATATTTAAGCGATTCATAGGACGAAGTAATGGGATATAATCATTACCGTAGTATATATTCGCTAGCGGTGATAATTCCAGCCTTTTGGGACACGGATAGCATCTTTGAACTGCCCAGATTCCATTCATGTGCGAAAAGAAACTGGCGGAATACATCCTGAAAATAGTCACAAGAGTAAGGAATAGTTTCTCTTAAATTGATTGAACATTGTTGGTTGAAAGCATGATAGTATTACCACAGACAAACAGACATAACACATTGAATATTTCTCAATGTAAAACATTGTCGCTAAAACATTACCGCTATCTGTTGAGTACACTGTGGTGGGCACTACACTGAACAGATGGCGGTAGTGTGTAAACGTCAAATGCAAGGGAATTGACTATGCGCGCCACAGGTAGCGGTACTACCAACTACGATACTTTTAAATTGTCCGTTAAATGCTTGTTCGATGAACAACGTGCGAGAGTTATGTCTGTTTGTTTGTGGTATTACAGTACCATTCCGTTTTTGGAAAACATGACCTCATCAACTATTTATTTCCTCAAATTTGTGTTTCTGCGTTCTATGCAGTTTTTCATAAAATACCAAGCATCTCTAATTCTTATAAGGAATGATCTAGTAAAATAACAAATGAAAAAAAAGCGTTCGATGAATTTTCTAGAGGGCGAAGAAAACAAAAATTATGTGCTACCAAAAACGGGAAGGGACTACATTAATGAATTAATAATACATTATTTTATTAGACAGCAAGTGACAAATGGTCAATGTATCAGAATTTTGATTATTTTAAGTTAAATTTTGACAATCTTGGCTATGTTCTTCTCGAACACCGGTCGATCGACAGCACAGGAATTTTCGAACTAATTTAACTCGGCAAATGGTTCACAGTCTTAAAAACATCGTAGTTTTCGGAACTGGAGACTTACCTTTTCCCGCAGATTGAGATACTGGATTTGAGCTCGGAATTCATTCTCGTATGGTACGTGTAATTTATTGATTCTAACGGTTGCTTCCTGAAAAATGTGATAAAATTACCCGATATGCTAACTTGAAAGTACTAATTCTAGACTAACATTTGAAAAGGGCGTAATTCCAAAATGACCATATCGAGAAAATCGCTTCTGAATTTTGATGACCTAAAAATTAATCCTATTTCACGACTTTCCATTTTCTGGATGATTTTATATGCTTGACATATAGTTAATAGTGTAATCTATCATCATGCATCACTAAAAACTCAAAAAAAGTTTTCTTTGTCGTGAAATCGAGAAAAAAACATCATACGCCCTGATCAGTTCATACATGTTGTTACCCCCCGGATCATCCACCCTTTGAACTGCCAACACTGGTGATACGCCGTGGAAGTACACCCTCGGGATATTTTGTTTGTTGTTCCGCCTTGGTCCTTCGTTCGCAAATTTTGTGAGAGTGGAATTACGCCCGGAGATTTTTTGGTCTTCTTTTTGTTCGTTGTTTACACGTGAACTATCAATCGGATGCATTTCAAATGAATCGGGCGTGACTAGATACTACAGACTCAATACGTTTGGCATATTAAAACGATATAATTCGTAGATCTGGTGCAAGGCGTAACAACCAGATGCATCATAGAGTTGAAAGTTGGAAATACTCCATGTAAGAAGAAACGTTTTTGATGATTTGAAGTGATATTTTCTTCTACATTTTCGTGTTTATCGAGTAGTTTGTGAACTATTCTCTCTATATGTGGCAAAATATGGTTTGTTTACATTTTGGCTCTTACGCCCCTTTCAAATGTTAGTCTAGAATTAAGGGTTAAAAAATACGCATATTGAAGAAAAGTTACTCATTAAATGAGTAACTTTATTGCCCATTAATGATTATTTGTTAGCTAGTGGCGCCGGTGGTGTTGTGGTAAGCGTGATTACCTCTTACCCCAGCAGGCCTGGGTTCAGTCCCAGTCGGCGCCGCCGGGATGTTCTGAGGCATAACATCTCTTGATCACGCCTTCCTTCGGAAGGGAAGTAAAGACGTTGGTCCCCGGTTCATGAGTTGACAAGATCGACGGAAAATAAATCAAGGAAAAAAAGTATGTTATCCATTAATGAGTAACTGTTACTCATTAATGGGTAACAGATATAAAATATAAAAAATACTCATTAATGAATTAAGCCACTTTGAACAAAATGGGTAAATTTGAACTCATTAACACTCCGAACACGATGCCTCCGGTAAAATGTGTAACGGAAAACTTGCTATGTTTGTAAAATCATAACTCAGCCATTTATTGACAAATTTCAAATCTATTGCTGCCATTTGAAACTTCAAACTTTAAAGATTTATTCGTATAAATAAATTTAAAATCTATTGATGAATTGCTGAGCAATGATTTTTCAAACATTGCCAATTTGCCGTTACACATTTTACCGGAGGCATCTTGTTAATGGGTACTTTCAAGTTCTCGTGTGAATAAAACAGTACAGCAGTCCAAATGACATGAGTTGCGCTCATTGGCACCCAAGTTGCGATAATTGTATATTTCTTAGAACCTGTACTTCAACTTAGTTCAAGGGTAATTTAAATTGTATTACCTCGAGTATGTTTCTAATTTTCCGGTGAATCATCTTTGATTATTTAATTCTTCCTTTTGCTCTAAACAAATTCAGAATTTAATCCTGCAAAAGCTTCCGACCTTCATTTTTAAAACACAATTAGTTTCACTATACTAGAATTCCCGCTTGATGCTTATTATTTCGATAGCAGCAGTAGTAATGAATCATTTTGCAGTAGGAACAAACATGTACGGTGTAATTGTCTGATACCTGTTTTTAGTGACCATCTGTCAAGCGTATTTGTTTATTTCTAAGTGCTAACATTTTTATGATAAAAATTAACTTTTTTGCACAAAAAAAATGTCATTAGTTGCATACGATTACAGCAGTGATGGAGATTCAGATCCAGAGGATGCTGAACAATCAAAATCACATGTAGCGTCTCTTGCAAACGAAGGCAATGAACATTCGAAAAGTACGACCTCGACCACCAACACTATTTTACCGAAAGAACCTGGCAGCCAAGATTCACAGGATCCTATAGAAGACGAAGATGAACCAACAACCCATCTACCCTTGCCTGCTCCCAAGAAGGTCACCAACGATCTGAACGTCGAGGAAGAAGATGACGAGTTTCTACGCAAGAAAGCAGTCCCAGAACTGAAACCGACTCCACTGCCAACTTCACTGGCTAGCATCCGACCGAACGTTAAGAACGGTAAGGTTCAAATCACTATACCTTCCTTGAGGGATTTCAGAGACGACGACGATGTAAAGCCGAAGGCCAAACCCATCATCGGAGCGGAACTTCCCAGCAAAGCAACCGGCCTTATCAGTATGCTGCCGAAACCCAAATCGGAGCTCGCATTCACCCAGAATGGTCCACTGGCCTCCAAATCGAAACCGATTGTCAATCGTCTTATTCCGGATTCGGTTGCAAATCGACCAAGGAACGTTCAGCCGGAACCGAAATTACCCAAGAAGCCTCCAGCGAAGAAACCGGAAACTACAGTCAAAGCAACCGGAAACGACAGCGAAGACAGCGATGACGACGAAAAGTTGGACTTCTTCTCACTGAACATGGAAGAGAAGTTGCCGGAAATAAGCGCCAACGAAATCAATGCAATGGTTGCAAAACGTGCTGCCAAAATGGCAGAAGCGGTAAAGAAATTCGATGAACCGGAAGTTCCAGAGGAGCAACCCGGCACCAGCGGACTGCAGCAGTATGTCCCTCGCTCTTCAGAAGATCCGAACGACTTGGCCAATGAACGGGCTCTATCGTCACTGATCGGTGGCAACAAGGCCAAACGAGCCCGCTTGGATGAGGTCAACATCATCGAAATCAGCTCGGCGGACATTGTTCCCTCGAGGGAGGACTTTATGCGTCGCCAGTTGCAGGATGAAACCGGGTACGTACCGACGGGTCATCTCACCGGCGACTGGACCTGTACGAGCAAACGAAAGTCGCACATCACCTATCTGGCAACGAAAGCGCAAGCCAACGCACAGGAACTGGAGGCCATGTGGTCCTCCAATCGGCAATCGCGACGGCAAACGCAAAGTAAGTACGGCTTCTGAATGTATGTTTTGCAATAAATTGCGCTGTTTCCCTGGTTTTAATAAACGTAAAAAGCGTGTAAAAGTTATTGGAAAGAATGCCTGTATAGCGACGCGTCATTGTTTGAAGTTCCGAACGGGGTCGGAGTAACATCGTCGGTTTCGTGCAATACTGGCGACAAGTCGAAAAATTTGAATTGTCTCATTCAATGTTTGAAAATTTGGGTTCACAAAACCTTCTGCATTTCTGTGCTAAGTTTCAATTTTATTAATCTTTTCATTTCCATTGGAGTGAATCGAGTGTGTTTCATTCATTCTATGAAATATCCGATCAAAAAATTTTACTGCTTTTTATTTGAGGTGTACCGCTTTGTCATGCAAAAATGGCTTTACTTTTTTGAGTTGTGACTAGAAATACTAGAAGGATAGATGGGCGGAGAAAACAAAATACAATTCGGCAGCAGGGAATTGTATCTAAATTATCTTGCAACCCTTGCTAAAACTTAGCATTTCACATGACTTTTACTTTTGATTCGATTTACGTGTAAATTAATAATTGATTGCATCGCAATATTTTGCACATTTGTTGGTGCCATTTATTAACCAACTAAGATCAATCAATCAATAGAGCTAGAATATTGCTTTTGATTCCAAAAACTAGTTGAATTTGAGAAGCACACGAAAGATAAGGGTGATTGAATTTCTGTTCCATTGCAATACTCTCAAATTTAATCTAATAATAATAAGAAATCATCGGAAAAAATCTAATGGGAATGTTCGTTTGGCTCAGATTTTGACAATTTAATTTGGCTCAAAACATTCTCTACGCTCATCTCTCCTTCTACACTGAGCGAATTTACCATGTCGTCATTGCATGATTAATCATTCAGAGCTATCCGATTTCTTTAACATCGAAAATAATATGAGATACCCGATTGACTGATAATTGACATTAAATGGGATGATTCATCATAAATATCATATAAGGAAATAACATCAACCACTTAATGAAGTACCGTTCAAATTTTGAAAGGTATTAACAATAAATGAATTCAAGAACAGAAATGAACTAAAATCATCCAAGTGAACCCCATAACGAAAATCATACAACAACTGTCATGCGATTCATTTTCATATCGTTTCAATCTCCCATTGCGTTTTGGCCTTACCATTTTTTGCGCAGCTTGTTGTGACTCTCTCGAATAGCAGTACACAGTTTTTTTCGCATACCACGGGGAGTGTCACCAAAAAGCGAACGAGAAAAAAGAATGCTTCAGTGCCCGTGGATTGTTCACGATCCAGCCCCCCCTCGAGGAGGTGGTCAGCGACTTTGAGGAAAGCAAGTACCAGAACGCCGAACTGCCTCTTTCGTACTACGGCAAGTCGCCGAACGAGTGGAGTTTTACAAACTGGCCAAGTGGCCATCGACAGAAACGTGTAATCAGAACAACATCCGCTGGTTGATTCAAATTCCTAGACTTCAGTAAGTTACTGGGAGGGAGGTCCTTTGTTTCAAGCAATACGATTCTAACAAAACAAATTTATCTTCCAGTGATATCTTCAAGACCAACCAGCGGATGAGCTCGTTTAGCAGATTTTGGACAACATTTTCAAACTGCTTTTTGAGGCCATAAACAACCCGAGCAAACATCCTAAATTGCACAAGTTCCTACAGAACGTGATTGGGTTCGATTCCGTGGATGACGAGACCGAACCGGCGAATCCACAGTTCAATGGGGACGCCAGGGGCGAGGCCGGCCCAGTGCAGCATTTAGTGTGGTTGTTTTATCATAAATGAATAAAACAATTGTTCAACTTATGAAACAGAAGTGTTTCATTTACAACATTAATTTACAGTTCCAACAATTTAGAAGAGATATATTTCGTTATGATCACAATTTTTAAACTGTAAAATAAGCTTTCTTCTTCCATATATTTTTCATTCAGATTGCTCTTATATTTCATTTAAACATTGCATGACAATTTATTTTGAAACTGTATGACGAGTCCGTATCTTTCTCAATGTTAATCATACGGTTTGTTCATTACAAGTCTTCCAAGAAAAGATGATAATCATGCTGATTTAGAACTAATGGTTTACAGCGTGCAGAACGAAATTCATCCTGTTTTAGAATTAATGCTATTCAGTTCTTTTGTGCTTTGAGAGCTGAATCAGAGAATGATAATCTTTCACAAATAGACAAATAATCCGTATGGGGCTCAAGTGAAGCAATAATCATACATTGATGTATGGACAATTTGGTTCAGTGTAGTATTTCTAGTTGTGACCATATTGCATCAAAAAACAACATAGACGAGTGCACGGATGGATTTGAGTTCACTCACTCGACAAAAAGTGACACAACAGCGGGGCCCTGTTTACTAAAAATGAACATATATGTGTTCATTTTTAGTAAACAGGGCCCCGCTGTTGTGTCACTTTTTGTCGAGTGAGTGAACTCAAATCCATCCGTGCACTCGTCAATGCCAAAGGACAACAAAATTGCATATTTATATTCAAGAGCAAATTTTCATTACGTCGAAAGTAACAAAGGTAAACAAAGTCGAGCTATCAGTGTCAATCGATGCTCCTGCTATGTATGTATGTATGTATATACAATCCAACTTCCACTCCCGCATAAACGCGAACCATAAATTGACCTTACCTAAAATGGTTAAAAATTGTTTATAATCCCTGCTAAATTTTAACTGAAATGGTTATGGAACTTTACATGAACGTTTAATGATAAAGTTTCAACCTTATGTATTATGGTTTTTTGGAACTGGACCTTACAAGTAATGGGTTGTTAAGAACCATTACCGTTCCAAATTCTTGTTTTCTCCATACATTTTCGGAAAGAGAACTATATTAGAACCTTTTAACTTATGGTTTGAGAACTTTAATGGTAATGGTTATGGTAGTCAGTAAGGTCCACGAATGATTTTGTAACATCGATCAACTTTATGTGGAATATATCGTGAATTGGTTGCCTGTAATTTACTGATTACCAATTCACGATATATTCCACGTAAAGTTGAGCGATAATACAAAACCATTAATGGACCTTACTGACTACCATAACCATTACCATTAATGTTCTCAAATCATAAGTAAAAACGTTCTTATATAGTTCTCTTTCTGAAAATGTATGGAGAAAACAAGAATTTGGAATGGTAATGGTTCTTAACAACCCATTATTTGTAAGGTCCAGTTCCAAAAAACCATAATACATAAGGTTGAAACTTTATCATTAAACGTTCATGTAAAGTTCCATCTCGAGTTCCATAACCATTTCAGTTAAAGTTTAGCAGGGATTATAAACAATTTTTAACCATTTTAGGTAAGGTCAATTTATGGTTCGCGTTTATGCGGGCTGTCCGGCAGTGTTTTTATGGAAGAAAAATGTTTGCAATATAATCTATCATTATTATACTGATCTCATTGCAAACAATTTTAGCCCGGAAGTTGAAAGGTGATAGCTCTGTTGAGATTCAGTAACCCATTTCAGAATGTCTGGTCACTCACGTCCATTCCGAGGTTACTTTCACTTACAACAAGCCCCGCATACTCGTAGTACCGATATAAAATGTATATTGGTACTGCGTGTACACTTCCATCATCAAAGCAATTCCTGCTTTGTAGATGGCACGTATTTAGTAGGATGCATTTCATATTTTTATATCTAGTTGTAATCAGTTAGATCTCACCGCTTATGTATTGTGTCCTCGACGTGGAAGCATCGTAGTCTAATCTGCAAATTCATCTTTCCCGGTTTTTGTCCAGGGGCAGAACACCAATGCTTCCGGAAGTGGAGGCGTAGCACCGGAACACACTAGCACGACGCTACAGCAACACAACTATTCAAACAAAATTCTAGCCCGGGAATTTTCACAATAATTCACAATATTAAAACACTGATAAATTAATCATAATGAATCTATACTCTCCTCGGTTAAGTCACGAATGACCTAAAATGTGTTAAACAAAATAAATAAACAATAATCGTTAGTTCAACGACAGATGAACTTAAATCAAATTTTAAACAAGAAATTAACAGCAGAACTTCAAGTTAAGTTGCTTTGATTTAAAATGTCTTGACTGCATAATCAAAGCACAATATGAAATCAGACTTCTGTCGCGACAATTGTAATCAAAATGAGTTTCGTCAATCGATGCTCCTGCTATTACACTATATACTGTCCGAATATAGGATCACATCCCATTTTTAAATTTATTTACCAGTCAAATTGCTTTTTGACGTAATCACTTTCCGATCAAAATAGTTTTCGATGTTACTTAAGTCACCCGATTTCTATGGAGATGCCGTTTGACTTAAGTAACAGCGCTGAGAAACCCGTAAAAAGTGTACGTTCGTCGTTTCGCTTTCTCATTATTAAAGTGAATAAATCGAACTGTTTGTTGCTAAGATGATTTCGGTGGTCCTAAAATGATGAATGGGCTGCACGTAAGGAGATGTAATTTATAATTCTCCCGAATATCCTGGTAAATACACTTTGACTTAAGTAACAACACGCAGAAAAAACACTGAGGCGTAAATTAACAAAATATTTTGTTATTATTTAATACGAAATTTATATTTGCTTCAGTTCACTAAAAAGATTCAAATGAATGCAGAAGTTCATTTAAATCAAACCAATAAAATTGTTTAAAGCTGTTTTCATTGTTATAACTAAATAATTTTTAAGTGCACGTTTCAAACTGTCAGTCTATATCGACATCGTTGCTGTTTATAGTTAAAAAGTTCCTCCTTATGGAAAAGCTGCCTTTAAACTTTGATCTTCAAAAGTAAGTAGTTTTAAATATAATGTCGATTAATAAAGTTTCTCGATTAACTTGCATTTACAATTTCAGTGCTGACGTGCGATAGGGCAAAATAAGGCTACACTGACATCGACGGATTCATTCTTTGGCGCTGAATATACAGTACCTCCTGTGTCTCACCGAACTGCGAGGAACAGAATCTAACCAACTTCAACCTACGTCTGATTCCGGAGATTCAACAGAACCATTCCTTGTTGAAGCAGCATCGTCACCATCAGCAGCTCAGTGGCAGCCGAGTTAGCAGCAGAATCGCTTCAAAATTACCACCAACAATAACATCATGGTGCACATAAATCGACATCCTGGTGCACATCAAGACACACAAGGACAACACGTTCTACAACTCATTCACGCAGCAAATGGTGCACCGGAATAGGCTAATTGATAAATAATTAAATAAATAAATAAATAAAAAATATTGCTTCATTTTTCAATAAAGACTAGCTATATATTTGATTCTGAAACAAAAAAATTAATGTTTCAAGCTAACTAAAAACGTTTATTACTTTAAATAATGCTTCAAGTTCAAGTTTTTTTGAATCAATAAAAACAGATGTTCCATTCAATAAACATTTAAGTATTATTTCAACTCAATGTTTTGTTGAATTACTCCATCAATTTTATTGATCTATATTCTATTCAAAATTTTGTTAAAAATGAAACGGATTTTGTTTGGTTGAACTATGTTTTTTCTGCGTGAATAGGGGCCACCAAACGACGTATAATAACTTTTGACTTAAAAACCAGTATTTTTTAACATGAAAGCTAGCGAATTGCATTTGTATGATTAGAACCCTGCTATATATGTTAAACATTGCTATCACTATGAGATCATACGAGTTTAATTGAAAATAGGAATAACTTTTCGGTCATCAAAACAAAACTTTATTTTACTCGGATTGGTGCGAATGTTACTTACGACATAATGAAAATTTGCTCTTGTATTATTGTTTCATTCAATGTTTGAAAATGAATCATGAATTTCACACATTAAAACACCTATATGTACCTTGGTTCAATCGACCGTGTGTTATTTTCAATCCAAATTTTCATTCACAGATGCACGGGTGCACGGATGCATCTCTCGAACATTGCACCCCGCTATTATTATTTTTGTTTTTCTCTCGTTCCCTCTCACGTGCGCTTTTGCGACCAGTGTGCGAGCGAAAAGGTTGTCATCCTTAAAACGCATCGCATCCACTCCACCGCAGTGTTGTCAGTTCGACAGAATTATACGCAGATCTACGGAGGTTTAGATTAACTATACGGATCTACGGAACGACCATGTAATTCTACGGATTTTCCAGATTTTTAGGGATTTTTTTAAAAGTTCCGAAGAAATTCTAATGATTCTAAAAAATGGGGCTCAGCACCCGCTCATCACTTCAAATTTTTTTTTGAAAGACCGTTTTTGGGAAATGGTCATTACTTAGGTAAAACAATGTTTATAGTTATTTTGATTAATGACGTTCGGGTTATAATCCAAACAATTTGTGGAATAGTTCTATCATTTGGTTTATCGTTGGAATATGTTTTTTTTTACCTATATATACGGATCGTACTCCATGAACAGTTAACAACACTGCTCCGCCATCAGACAGAACAGCGACCAGATCGACGTAGTAGGTTTATTTTCGTGTGTTTTTTTTGTGCGATGGACACGAGAGACGAACAAAATAGTGACAAGGCCTAAAAATAATAATTATTGTAAAATTCGATTGAAATAACGGAATACCCGGTATAGTTCGGTGTCAGTTTTGTCCACCGATGTGGGCTGGAGTCGCCAGGTCTAGTTAGAGGTTTCGGTAGATGTAATTTGGTTGATTCAATCAGACACTAAATTCGGGGTGCTCCCCGAATGCAAGGGTGGCAGTGTGGGCCCCATCTTTTTTTTTTCCTCTTAAAATGCAAAATGTCTACTGAGGAGGAGTAAATATTGGACGTGCCGTATAAGTGGTCACAAGCCCTGGACTATTTAGACTGAGAATCCCGCACGGAGGAGTAAAATCATGGAAGATGAGAATGCGGGTGTAGGAGAAGGGAATCATTCCCAGGCCAAGAAAACAAAATTGTCGGACGAACGTAATAAACTGGAATCGTCCACGACAGCAGCAGCAGAAGCAGTAGCAGATGTTGTGGAAGAATCTCACAAACAGCTGCTTCAACCATCGACGCCATCAGAAGCATTAGAATCTGCTTGTCCAGAGGATACTGAAGGGTGAGTTTTATTAACCTATGTCTGTTTTTTTATATAGATTTGCCATAACAAACTTCATATGTTGACTTGGATGTTGTCATGAGAATAATTCCACTGGAATTTATGAAAGTTTTTGCATCATATCTCTCAAAATGACATTTTATTTTCGTTGTTGTATTTTTGTTTGATATAAGGGGCAGTCCATAAACTACGTGGACAACTATTGAAAGATTTGAATTAAAATTAATACTATCTTCTTCTTTTTAATAAGAATGATTTTGTGTAATATTTAAGAAGAAATGGTATTTGCATAACGTTAGTTAGTAATTCTAAGATTTATGATAAGGCGGTGCAATGTTTTCAATCAGACAATTCTTGCGCTTGCGACAAAGAAATCTATGCGCTTTTTCGTCATTGAATTCCAATGCAAGAGCAGTACTGCACTGTGGTTTTGTCCATGATAGGAGGGTTATGTCTTGTTCAGATTGCAGAGTTGTAACATGTTATAATAATTTCAATTACAGATAAACACACCAGATAGCCTTATAACATGTTATAACTCGCCAATGTGAACCATGCATTAAACAACACTGGTCAGACTGAGGAGTAATAACGTGCCTTATATATCCTGATGACATTTTTCATGTCGATAATTGACCACTTTGCCAAGCAGTTTTGGCGTGACTTTCTACCTGCGATTTCACAAAACTGGACCAACTAATCTCTATTTTTTAAGAAACGCACAAATGTTGGCTACTTTTCTCGTGATTCTAGAAGAAAAAATCTCAAAATAATGTTTTATTTCAAAGTTTGAATGGTAGTAAACGTAATTTTAACTGCTCGAATGAAGTGGTTAATTATTATAACATCTTATAACTCTGTAGTCTGAGGAAGTCATCATGGCTTCCTAATACTACAGAGTTATAACATGTTATAATAATTATCGATATGTAAAATGTCATCAAGATAGGCTTATAAAACATGTTATAACTGCTCAGCCTGGCCTTTGTGTAAAAAAGTCATAATGCCTTGATCAAACGCGGGCCAGACTGTGCAGTTATAACATGTTTTATAAGCCTATCTTGATGACAGTTTTCTTGTCGATGTTACAACTTTGTAGTCTGAACAAGGTCTTGATCATGATTTAGGTCAACACCTAAACACTGGGATGGGTCACGTTTGTATGGTAGATCACAACACCCTGTTCTCACTGCTCTTCCGATGTGTATTGACGTCCTCCAAAATTTGAACAAATTTGTTTATGATCGGGATTTGCGGGAGAAATTTAAATTTTGTATGGGAAAATGAATAAGAAACGAAACCTATTCATTTGCTTGCAAAAATTCTTAAAATCTCGGAAATAAATTGGGAATACTATGGAGAACATCTTTGTCCAAGATAACCGGCGCCGGTGGTGTAGTGGTAAGCTTGACTGCTTTCTCACCCCAATGGGTCTGGGTTCAATCCCAGCCGAGGTCGGTGGGATTTTTCTGAGGCATAAAAATCTCTGGTCACGTCTTCCTTCGGAAGGGAAGTAAAACTGTTGGCCCCGGCCCATGTGTGTTTGAATGGGTGCGATATCCTACGCAGGTGTGGAAGCTGCCTTCCTTGCACATTCGATTACCGTCAATCGATGGCAGTCGATGTTCGTCGGTGATTGGCACTAGATTGCGGAACAGAGACCGACGTTAAATAAAGGAAAAACAAAACAAAAAATCTTTGTCCAAGACTGCAAATCGATTAGACTTCTGAGGAAAAAGTTATTACAGTGCTTTCACGATTTTGTCAGCCCCTTCTCAAATTTTAGGCTGACGGGAAACTGACAAAATCGGGAAAAAATTTCCCATTATTTTTTGATCAAAACTATTACACACTCAAAAAAATCTTCACGTTAATGCTACGTGAAAAATCGCGTAACCTCTTTAACACCCCACTTCGATCATTTGCACGTGGCTTACGTCAATGTCAGATTAAATTTTGATAAAATTTACGTGATTTTCATGTTTGTTGATGCTAAGAAAATTTCACGTAAAAAGTAAAGGATAATCGTGTACACTCTACAACATATACACATCCAATCTACGTGAAAAATCACGTAGCTCATTCGAATGCTTCAACTTTCATGTTTACATGATGGTAGAAAAATTGATAAATATATCATGTCATGTTCACTGGGCCTGATGATGAATGTGACAACATTGTCACATCAAACTTCTATTTGCGGTTGTGTGATTGTGGTGTGCTTACGTAAAATGAGTTTACGTGATTTACATGTATGAAAAAGTTAAACAATATGGTGGCATCGATTATATTAGTGGAAGAAGTGATTCAGCATACTGCAACTGTTTGAAGGTATTTTTTATATAATTTTGCTTTATTTGAAATCCGTCATACACTGCTAATTAAATTTATTTCGATTTCATAGGCTGGGTTACAAGATACAATTTACGGGGATTATTTCCCAAGGTCAATTTAGCCTGACTCAGCAGTAAACAGTGCAAACGGATATTGCATCTGAATCGTCATGATTAATTAAGTGTTGGAAAAGCGAAATGGTTAATATTAACGTTTCAATGACATACTTGACGTATTAATAAAAAATGCTAACAATATTTAAGTATTATTTTCTTGGAAAAAATAGAAAACAGTATTTGTTAGATCCGGTAAAGATCACTTCAAAATCACGTCAACATTACGTGCAAATCCATTCTAATTATTGTGGAAACCACGGAACGTAAACATAAGATGAACCAAGGGGGGCGACACATCTAAATCTCAAGTTAAGATGGTCAACAAATCTCGCACTAGCGAATCAATCTTCGAACAATCGTCTTTCATTTGTCGCATCTACTTGCATCGCTCATCAATTTTTTGCAGGAAATCTTCAGAATCGTCATCAATCTTCTTTCTATCTACTCAGCGTGCGCGCAGCTAGCCACAGCAAAACACAATCTTTTTTGCATCGTAGATAGAGTCGTCCCCCTCGAGATGAACAGTATTTTCCAGTAAATATCATTTCAAAATCACGTAAACATTACGTGATAACCGCTTCCAACTTAAGTGGAAATCACGTTACCTGGTATTAACGCTAACCCTACCTGGTATTAACGTAAATGTTACGTGCAAAGTAGTATGGACGAAAGCTACCTATGTTTTCACGTAGATCGGACGTGCATATTTTTTGGAGTGCAGAATAATGAAATCCTTATAGGGTACGGGGTGCTATGGGATAATATGACTATCCGTGCTTAATTACGTGTTTTGCAAATCAAATTTAATGGGGTTTCACCCATAATCACTAGAAGAGTTGCAGAACAGTCAACTGAGAAATTGTTTATATCAAGTAGTCTTTTAATAGTACGAGAAAAACACTGTTGGTCATATAACGCCAGCGTGCGTTTTACCCCACCTTGTCCTATTATTTGTAAAAACTCTTCTAAACCATAAAATAATTAGAAGTATTGAATTAATTTTCCTTTAACGATAATGAAATATGTGATTCTATAACATTCCCCAGAAATCCATTCCCCAGAAAACCATTCCCCAGAATGCACCATTCCCCAGAATTCCATTCCCCAGAATGTACCATTCCCCAGAATGTACCATTCCCCAGAATGTACCATTCCCCAGAATGTACCATTCCCCAGAATGTACCATTCCCCAGAATGTACCATTCCCCAGAAAAGCATTCCCCAGAAAAGTTGATGAAATTAGTAATTTTCACGTTTCTTTTTTTTACTATTGATAATACACTATGTTTACTTTTATGGAACTATGTATTTATCAATTCCAAACCATTTTTTAGCTCTTTATAAAATGACAACCTTCAAGTTTTTGAGCACTTCGTTCATCATTTAATAAGTCAATGGGTCTTTTATGCAATCCAATTCAACCAGTCGGAAACTGTTAAACCTTATCGAAGAAATTGTTCGACCTGAGTTGAAGAATTTCTCGTGATGGATTAAAAAATCGATGCATAGAACGTTGAACTACCGATTACAAATTTATAACATTATTCCTCTCGTTATTATCCCAAATGGTCATTACTCCGAATCTCTTGCGAAAAGCTATTGATTATATATTTTCCTTATATATTAAAAGAAGAGAATATTCCCTTTTTTATCATACATCCAAAGAATTAATTATTTTCTCTTTTATATACTCAAAGAAAAGAATATTCCCTTTTTTATCATACATTTAGCCAATTAATGATGTTCTCTTCTATATATTCAAAGAAGGGAATATTCCCTTCTTTATCGTATATCCAAATAATTAATTCTTTCTTTTTTTTATATTTTCAAAGAAGGGAATATTCCCTTTTTTATCGTATATCCAAAGAATTAATTATTTCCTTTTGTTATATTTTCAACGAAAGGAAAATCCCTTGACCCATTAAGAAGTTTTTCTATTTTTTTTTAGATACGCGAAAGAAGATTCCAGAAGTGACTATAATAAACACAAAATAGTCAATCTAATACATGGCATACTTTTCTGGGGAATGGTACATTCTGGGGAATGGTACATTCTGGGGAATGGTTTTCTGGGGAATGGTTCATTCTGGGGAATGGTGAATTATGGGGAATGGTTTTCTGGAGAATGGTTTTCAGGAAAATGGTTTGCTGGGGAATGTTATAGAACTAAATATGTATCAACTTTCAAAGCAGAGAAAATGGGGGGAGTTGTGGTGGGACGGGGTGGTATCCACTAGTTGCCTAGTGTAGCTCCACTAAAGCCCATTCCTTACTTTCTCCTCTGCCTGGATCCCCGGGACCACACTGAAGCGACTACTTCGACGGAATGACACTTACCTTCCTCTGGACACATTTCATCGACGATATTCTCCACGTTAAGGACAGGCATCTCCCTTCGCACTGTCTCGCACCTTGGACAGTCGAAGACCACATGCTCCGGCGTTTCATCCACGTTGCCACACTCCGGACATAGGGGTGACGCTGCGTGTCCGAACCGATGCAGGTATTTCCTGAGGAACTGCGTCCGGTGGTGATTGACTTCTCCGTGTT